AACCCTCTCCAAAGACACCCATACTATGCCCTCTTAGCTGCAGACAATGTCAATTAAAAACTTCCTTACTGCTTTACGTGACCATGAAGGGAACTTTGTAAGCAGGGGTCTGTGTGGAGTTGGGCTTCACCTGCGGCCTTTGAACAGAAACCCTTTAACTAGGTGCATCCGGACCAAGGCAGGAGCCCCATCTGTCAGCCAAACAAACCAGCTTTCTGCTGGCAGAAAGGATAGCTCTGCAGGGACAGATGCAGCCCCAATCTGGGCTACTGAAGGACTCTGGTGATAAGGAGGCAGAAGGGCCACCTGCAGGAGCAGCAGCAGACACCGACATTTTCAAAAGAAAATCAATCTTAGCAAACAGCACTGGGCATCTCAAAAACATGAATTTTCTGTTAGGCTTTCAGAATATTCCATCCTATGTGGATTAGTGGATGCTACAAAAGTATTCTGTCACCTGACCTGCTATGAAGCTAAATAAAATGGTCTCTCTCACAGATCCAACATCAGCAAGAAATAAAACTCAGAGGCAGGATCGGGTTCTGACCCTCGGACTCTGATGTCCCTCTGCTCAAGAGCCTGAGCACCCAGAGGACAGATGACACTCACTCACATGGCTGGCTGGAAGTGGGTGCGACCCACAGGGTAGCTTCAGCAGCATCTTATTTTTTCTCTCAGTTCCAGCTGAGAAACAAGTCAAAGGCTGTGCTTCCAGGTTCTTTCTCAGATGTACTCACGTTTCCCTTGTCTGCTGGGACAGAATCTGGGTTTCCGCCAGAATGTTCCCTTCCTTACCTCCACCCACCTTCCTCTGCCCTCTCTGAATTCCTCTACAACTTTGATTATTTAACCTACTTTCCTTCTCAAAATCTGGGTAATTGTAGTCTAAATAGCAGGACTACATGTCTACTGTTAACAGAGATCGACTGAGATGAAACAGGATGGATGATAGCCCGGAAAACGCTGTTATTGGTCAAGGTAGCATAATAAACTGTGTAACTGAACTAAAACTCCATGGTGATGTGGGATAGCCTTCAGTAGATGTGTTGCCTTTTTGTTGTTGTTAATGAATAAAGCTGTTTCAGCCAATAGCTTAGCAGAGTAAAGCCAGGCGGAAGATCTGAGCAGGGATATAGAAAGAGAGTAGGTGGAGTCAAGGAGACACATTGAAGCTGCAGAAGGAAAATGATGCAACTGCCAGAACCTTTCTGGTAAACCATAGCCTCCTGGTGATACACAGATTAATAGAAATAGGTTAACTTAAGATATAAGAGCTAACTAGAAAGATGCCTTCTTTAAAAGCCTGCTTCCTGGTGCGAGCTGGCAGTACCAACTCTGGCTCTTTCAGTGCACTTAAATGGGTTTGTAAACAATGTACTACTAGTTGCGAAATGGCGATATATACCCGTTGAATCCTTGGAGATGGAATGGTGAGTATGGCTCACAGAGGCAGTGAACATTCCTTCTCCCATGTTGGATGGGGCGGAACCAACAGGTAAGGCTGTGAAGTTGGTCCTAGCCATGACCACATAGCTTTTAAATAAAAAAAAAAAAAGTGCTCCTGGTCAGAAAATGATTACAGATACACAATAAAGACAAATTCAAATAAAAAATACCTCTGAATAAGTCACAGTATTGAATAAATATACACAGGCTTGGGAAAGAGAACAAAAAGAGTATAGACAGTTATAGAAGAATAAAGTAATATAAGAGTACAGACAATCATAGATTAAAGGAGTAAAGATAATAAAATATAAAAAAATAATTTTAAAAAGCCAAATAAAGATGGAATATACATAGAGAGTCTGAATTATGCGTATTATTGTGTTTTCTTTAAAGCTTTTAACTATAGAGAGTTATTTGATTCTGGGGGCTGCTAAGCTAAACCAACATAAAGGTGTCTTGACTTCAAAATTTGAGTCTAAAGATATGTTGCTTTGGAAAATAAGTTCTGCGTCTGTTCCCAAAGAAGATGAGAACCTGTGGATTCCTTCCAGGCTAATGTAGTTCAAGTGAACAAGACCCCCTGAAAGTTCTCAGTAAACCCTAAAAATACTTCACCAAACAAACAGCAGGAAGAATTTTGGAGAAAACTGCATCCAAATACCAAAAAGGATTGCTTATAAATGATTGTTTTCATTTAAAGAGAGATATAATATAGAAATGAATACTTTGCATTAGTATGGATCTTGGTCTATTTATTCAAATTTAAGGTCAATTTTGCTACACTCTGTGTATGTATTTCTGCTCTTGTTTAAGGTATCATGTTTATACAGCTCATTTAAAAAATGTAATGTATAATTAAAAATTACAGATTTAATAGCCATTTACAATAATCAACCTTTTAATTATGCTAGTTAGGTTTTCTAGATATACAGAGATGTATTTCAGTTTAGATAATCTTCAACGCTCCAAAGACCTACAGAATATGGCATTTAAAATGTTTTAAGAACTTAGACTTTTCTTGACAGTGAGACATGTCTGCTTCTGGCAGCACCAATTACTTCAGAGAGGATGATGGGCATTGAAGAAACACGTTATGAAATTTTGCCTTCAATGTAACAAGACTAACCGTTTGGGCAAGAATCTGTTCTTTCTGGACTGCTTCATGGTATGCTGTACAAACTGGACATGCAGGACCTACAGAAAATTAACTGCTTCTTTACAAAAGACGGGATGGTCCTTCAGGGTTCTTGCTTCACAGAAGAAACTGTCAGACATTTTGCAGGACACAGAAGAAAGCAACTGATGAATTTTGCTATTACAAGGCAGAACAGATCTTCAAACTACCTGCTTCATGGAAAACTCTGCTGGATATTATGGGTCTACAAGCTAAGGATGGATGCCCCAACATTAAGAAGAACTTTGGGTGACTATCCAGGCAGTGAGATGTCTCCGTCAATGCTAGAGTTTTGGAAATTGCTTATAATGCACTTCCAGTTTACTTAGGTAATATATATCCTTCTGGGATCTTTGATGGAGTTGAAAACAAAATAGTGATAATTATAGTTTCTCTTAGTTATGATAAAAGATAAATTAGATATAAAACTTTAGACTCACAAAGGCAGGATAGACGATAAAGTATTTTCCTTAATTTACCAAATGTAAATGGACTAAATATTGTAACGACAATTCTTGGTTGATAAACGTAATTTTTACTATGTTAAAGTTAAAACCTTCATTTTTAATTAGACAGAAAAAGGGAAATGATGTGTGAATCAAGATGGCTGGACTCCATAGGCAAGATGTGGTACAGAAGGTGGGGGACAGGGGCAGAGGGAGGAGTGAGAGAAGGGGAGAATACCTACTTTTATAAACTCCATGAAAGACAGGAATACAACAGGATGAGGGGGTACCTTTACTTAATTTTTATCTGAGAACATCATTTGTCTCAACTTGATTCACTTTTAAAAGGTTCCTAGAAGACAGTTTAAAATGACCATCACTGGACACGGACTCTATCAGTTAAAGTGTGCATACTCTATGATCCAATCGCATCGTTCTAAAGGAATTCCCACAAAGGTGGGTATGGATGCACGGACAAGACCTTCACTCAAGCACTCTTTACAGTAGGGAAAATACCCAAATTCCATATGTGGAACAAACGGGGAAGGCTAAAGAAGCAGGGGATGTATGTGCTATTGAATACAAGACAGCATTTAAGTAGAGTAAGCGAACTCTGAGAACAACTCGGCGGAGCTCCAGGGACATTGCATGTCACAGGGTGATGACAACAGAGTGATACCATTTGTGACCCAGGGTTTCTACAGATTTTGCATTTATACTCATCTCTGGAAATAGTAATTGACAGATGATAAACAGACATGCAGGAGATAGACAGTCAGTCAGATAAGAGAACAACCAGAGAAAGAAGGGAAAGGAAAATAGGAAAAAAACAAAACAAAACAGAAGTTAGCTAGGGTAAACTGAGAGTCAGTCACCAATGGAGACTCTCATATCTTCTGAAATGGCTCTCTGTTTTTGTTTGTTTGTAGCATTGAACACTGAACTTCACACATACTTGGCAAGCATTCTATCACTAGGCTATATTCCCAACCGAAAATACTTTTTAGAAAAAATGATATTCATGTATTAATTTCCTAATTAGAAATTAAAGATGAAGTGTATTTATAATGAGCTGAATTTTAATCAAAAGGAATAATATAAAAAATTAAAGGACATATATCCTACTCAAAGGCTAAGAGATGAGCCTCTTCTACCACCTCTGAAAGAGTTCATTTTGAACATAATTCTAAGACAAAAGTACAAATATTACTGGGGAAGTTGTTCTTGTGGGATGTGACTTTATATAGGTATTAAATATCTAGACATCTCTGAGTTCCATTAGAAAAAAAGTCAACATTGCCAACATAACTACCTACTACCATATGGTACTACACCCATTAAGTTTAAAAAGTAATAATAAAATAAGAGTTCTTATAATGCCTTCAGGGTATTTGGCCATAGGAGAAAGATACATAAATGGTTCTCATTTATATAGAAGTGAATTCATTAAGAATAGCAAGAGGCCGTGCAGCTGGTAAATTTTTTTAAGAGTTTGGAATTACGCCTAGAAGTCATCAGATTTGTTGCTAGTGAACCCCCATCTGTCATAGCCTGACTCTGAACTATATATAGCCTTTATTCCCCAAATCAATATGTTGTGTGTTCATGTAATCTAGTATCTAGTCTAGAAGCCTTGCAATTGTCTGTGAGCTCTCAATTCTTATTTTCACGATTCCTTGCCTTGTTATTATTCTTAATATACAACTGACAGAATATAGACATATCATTTTAAAGACTTCAATCACTGAAGTATAACTGTAGGAGGAGCTAGCACCATGTGTATATATGTATATGCGCATGAAACTCGTAAAGGACAAAAGTACAAACCACTATATAAACTTGCGCCAGAGGTAACTAGAGCAAAGGATTTCACAGGAACATGTCTCAGATGACACAATTTCTAAAACTCCTCATCTATCTGGTATCTGCCACAGCCAGCTCTCTACATCATCTGAGATCCTAGAGAGACACCGCCACTCAGCTGCCAGTTTGAAGTCCCTGGTAAAGTCACGGTGAGTACAGTGGCTGTGGCCATTTGCTGTCTTCACATATTTCTGACTACTGATAATCCTAGTTACCTCTGTTCCTACCCTGCCCAAACACCAAAACAAAATGGAAGCAGGAGACTAGAAAGCTGAAAGCAAAAAAATACCTATTTTTAAAATACGGTTGAGAACTCAAAAGAATGCATAGCATTCTCTCTGAGTGCCGAATGGAGAAAACAACCAACCCAAACTCACCGTTTCTAAAGAAAACAATTTGCTATTCTAAAAGATCCCAGAGCCATTTATTTAAGTAGGACTGAATTCAATATACTATGCCTTTGAAAGGCAGAGAATTGTGTATTATATTTTAGAACAATTTTTTTTTCAGACATCAGGCAGGAAATTTGTCTGTTGAACACAACTGAGTGTCATGGAGAGACCAAAACAAAACAAATCACATAGAGATCAAGTGATTTCAGGTGCTAGCCATAGTGAGCGTGTCTAAGAGGCTACGAGGAAAGGCCTGTGTAAGGCTTGTTCCCTGCATCTTCTCCAGTGTCTAGAGCAGCTGTGAACACGCTCATTCTATGAAAACTCAATCCCTCATTAACATCAGCAGTACAGATGAGTATTTGTAGAAAACTAGAGAACACCTAGGTTATGGGTAGGGATAGATTCCAGTTTTCTCCAAACCCAACAACCGTACAGTGCAGCATAAACATCAAGAATGTCTAAGGCACGCCATGGAAAGCAGGCAATGCCAAACGCAGAAAGAGAAGGAAAAACACTAAGCCAGTGTCCTTTACCCCAGCGACATTGGTTGGGAGCCATAGCTCCTCCACTTTCTGTCTTCTTTGCTCTTTCTGTCTAGTATTTTCTTCCAGCTATAGACTGAAGACAAGTATCCTATAGAGATCTCTAATGCCAGGTGTTTTGATACCCTGACAGTCTTTGTTTACTTAAGATTTAGCTCAAAACTTCATTTTCTACTTGCAAAGCCTTTCTTCTTTAAAGAATTTTGAAAATAAATTCCATCAACATTAACTCACATCTCCTTGAATTATAAACCTATCAAGCTTGGAGAATTAGCCTTAAGCTGTCAACATCAAAGCAAAGGAGTCCTGCCTTTCTCGAAAAACCACCCACCTGATTTATGGCTCTGTCCTCTGCATTCAGAGTCACGCTAAGTAGGAAACAAAGGGGTTATCAAATTTCAGTAATTAATAGAAGTAAACATGAGCGGAGCTAACAAAAGCAATTACCAGGAAGTTTAGTGCCATTATCTCACCATTTCATGTTTTGCCTTTTTCAATGGGAAGCAGAGATGAAAATGAATGCCTCGGGACTGGAGATTTGGTCATTTCATTCAAGAGTTCCCATCCACCTGTGTAGCCCAGCTGACAGCTAATTTAATACTCTCCTCCATATAAAATAAATTACACTGAATTCAGTTTATAAATGAAAGGCTCCTTAGTATTCCAGCTCACTTTTGATATGAAAAATAATCACTTAAAATTTTCAGAATGCAAATGGGCAGGGAAGGCAGGAAGAAGCAAGTTTGTTTCTGGTGGCTTCTGCACATTCCGCCCACATGGCTGGAAATGCTTCACTCTGCCACTCTGCTTGAGCCTGTCCTTATGACACTCCCTTCTAGACTCACAGCTGAGAACCTCTACTGTCCTCCTTCTACTGAAAGGAGAAGAAAGGGTAGGAACTTCTCAAAAGACATAAAAAGAGCCTCAAAAAATTAGAAAATGAATTAACAGCTACAATAAAAATATACAAATTCAATCTTAAAGAAACAAAATGAAGACAATGTCATGGTACTTAATGTCAGCATTAAGCATTACTCTATGGCAGAGGTTCTCAACCTGTGGGTCATGACCCCATAGGAGGTCACAGATATCCTGCACATCAGATATTTATATTGCAATTCAAAACAGAAGCAAAATTACAATTACAAAGTAGTAATGAAAATAACTTTATCGTTAGGGTTGCCACACATGAACTGTATTAAAGGGTCGCAGGATTAGGGAGGTTGAGAGCCTCTGTTCTAGGATGTCCCACAATGTCTCACTTGGGTTAGACTTCCTCACAGACATCTAATCAATCACTACACAGAGAGACTTAACCTCCTAGATACATTTCAATTCCACCCACTTCTTGCCGCACCTTCTCCGCCCTCGATGCTTCCCTAATACAAGTCACAGGCTCTTGTCTTTTCCCTCTCCCAAGTCACTAACTACAGCCAATGGCTCAGAATGATCTTAAAGTCACATGACTCCTTCTGGGAAGATCTTACTGACTAGTCTAACCTGGCTAACTCACTAGGTCAAGTAACAGTCTGTCCATCACTTCCTAGATGATGTCCTCCCTTGACTTCCCAGGCAGGGCCTGTTCTCCTGGTGTGTGACTGTCTTGCACCGCAGGTTTCTCCTCCATGAAAAATGGATCACTTTACAACTGTACATCTGGTTAATAAATAATATGGAGCATACTTAATAACTACTCCTTGGCTGAAGGAAGCATGAGGGCTAAGCCTGTCTCTACTTCTCACTAGGTTCTTTCCTTCCAAAGCCCCCACCTCAGTGCATGTTTACTAAAGCATCTTGAATTAATGAATGCATGCATAATAGCTGTTCATTCAGGATCAGTCTTCAGAGAACTCAGGCCATATCTTCCGTCTTTTTCCCTCCTGGCATGTCAGCATTTAGCCTAGAGCCTGGCACAGGTTGTACTGGCCATCAATAATGGTTTAATGAACATGCCAGACTATAAACAAAAATTTTTAAAACATAAAAGCAGTTACTCTTCCTGGATCTTAGAGTGATTAAGAATTCCACTATTTGTATTGCTCGGGAGAATCAATTACCTCAACTTCCTGCAATGTTGTTAGATGAGAGGGGATTTGTTGAAATGAATAGGTGGCCCTGATAGCCTGCGGGTGTTCACATCCAGCAACTTAAAACTGCTCCCTTTAGACAAATGCAACATGCTCCACTCACACACATGACAAAAATGAAAATCTGTCCACACAAGTTTTTATTTAAACAGGAAGGAGCCTACCTGTTTAGAAAGGGAAGGCAAATTAACTCCCGTGTATTTCTGAGACTTTGATTTCCGATCGTGGATTCACACAGCACATATACTCAAGAGGATCAAAGCCTTGCTTCCCAATCAAAGCCAGGGGAACAGAAAGAAAACTATTATTTAAATAACATTCCAAATCACCATTACCAACCTCCAGCTTGTCACACTCAAGGTCCTTTTAATAGCTTTGGTGAGTAAAATAGGGCTAGCCAAGCACTGCAGCCATAAACTTGTGTGGGTGTTTTAGGGGGACAGACACACAGACCCCCAAACCATCCCACACACTGTTGACTGCTGAACAGTAGCTTTTCTTCTTCTCCTGCAAAGGCATGTAGATAATATTTCAACAATAACCACACATGTCTCCCTGTGGTATAGACACATACAGAATGCATTAGGAAAAATGCCAATAACTGCAACACTCTGCTCGCTGGTTCTATTCAAGTGAGCGTCTCACAGGTACCACAGAAGTGCACAGCTTTCTGAATTCGGTTCCAAAGGGAGCTCAAAGTCAATAAGCCTCCTCAGCTATCATCCAGCATGACTAAATCACTCCAAGGGCAAACCTTTCTGAGTTATGTGACCATTTCTTTTGCAGAGTTTTACCAAAAACGGCATGCCATAAACCAATTTAATTCAAGGTAACCCAAGCTGCTGGATGAAAAGGAGCTCAAGAAATGAACAGAAGGAAGAAAACGCAAACGTTTCAAGTTACACAGGATCCTCATCACAGTGAAATGAGCACAAATTAACAGACCAAGGGTTCCCAGGACCGATGAGGTACCCCTCCAAATATAATCCCCAGTTCCCATTATTAGGATAAACCGGTCATTATGTCGGGTTTGCCTTTTAAAGAGGTAGAGCTAAGGAAATCCTTTACTGAAGCGAATTACCTTGTGCCAGCACGTCAGAGGCTTCAATGATGTTCAGAGGACATCCTAGGATCCCTTTTATGTTGTTCTCTTGTGAGCCGAGGACAGGAGGATAGGGAATTCTCCACTCAGAAAATACTCAATTATTTTAACAGGATTACATTGTAGACTGACAATGCTTAAAATAGCCCCCTGAATTTATTAGCTTGCCAGCACTTCAAATAAGCAATTTTAATGCAAAGATCTTTTAAGTTTAAGTAAAGGACTGGCAATACGTCAAGAAACATCTCCTCCAGCTTTCTAAGACAGGACAATGGCTATCAGCTGGGAGTTCATGAGCTCAGAAGGAAGGACCTTCACACCACGTTCTCCGGGCTTGTGATCTGCCACATTTTTAAAGACAGGACTTTCTCTGAACTTTCATTTCTCATTACTTCATTTCGGTTTGAAAAGCATATTTGTCTTGATCAGATGTAAGTTGACTGCAAGATTCAGCTGAACCTCTGACACAGGCATCCTGCTCCTCAGTCCCTAATGTTTTTATATCACCACAGCTCACTCCTTCCCCCTCTCCCCCATCCCCACCCCACCACCAACCCCACCTTAGCAATCAATATATGGATACAGGAGAGCTGCCTACCAAGTGAGAGGCACCAGGCTCTGTAAAACAGCCCAGTGTTCAGTCCTTCGCTGCCTACACATTTTCCTCCATATTATTCACCGTGTGTGTGTGTGTGTGTGTGTGTGTGTGTGTGTACACGCACGCGCATGCGCGCGCACATGTATGTTTTCCTCACATATGATTTGAATTTGGATAAGCATTGTCAGAGTGTTCCCAAAGGCATTTCTAGAACCCTGGAAATACCAATCACCTTCTTGATTGGCTTCCTTCGCCGGTCAGTTCTCAAAACAATAATTTTGTCTTTTATATTCAACCCCTATGCTCAATGGATTTGGGGTTCCTGCTTTTGCTCTGGGAAGGGAGTCCACCCAGCATCTTCTTCTCGGTTCTTTACTCACATTCTTCCACTTCTGCACTCCTAAGAACTGACACCCACCTGAGGTAGTAACAATGATAAGGCATATAATTGATTTGTTGTATCCCATGAGCCTAAGTCTTAGACTTAATTCTCAGATTTCTTAGCTTCTCTGACTGATGATGTGGCAATTTATGCACTTAGTTATCAAGAGAATGAATTAAAGGACTGAGGATGGAGCTCGCAAATTCGTCTTCTGTCGCAGCCCACTGATGTGGACTAGAAGCAGTGCTTCTATGCATGACAAAGACTCTCGAAGAACTAGATTGGGCTTATTAGTTGTGGCTTTACCTCCTGCTTCTAACATAGAACCCCTTTGAGGTCACATGTCAGATATCCTGCATATCACATATTCACATTATGATTCATAACAGTAACAAAATTATAGCTCTAAAGTAGCAAGGAAATAAGCTTATGGCTGGGGGTCACGGCAGTAGGAAAGTTGCGAACCACTGGCCTAGAGTGCTGCAGCAGTATATTCACTGGTCTTCCTGTGGCCAAGGACAAGGGGAAGAGCTGTTTCCAAAGGTCTCAGTCAGATTTGAGGCCTGTCCCCTCTGCTCTCTTCTTAACCTCTTTGGTGTTCTGAACAACACTGTGGGAGAGATGAGAACAGCAGCAGCCACCTAATTCTTCCTGGGAGCGGAATGTCTACTGGAGTCGGCTGAGTCGCTTCAGAACTCCATGACCCACACTATCTTCTCAGCCTCCTGACTCAAGCCAAGCAAGAACGGCGAAGACTAAATCAAAATCTGGCAGAGTAAAAGGTTCTACAAAAACATACACCTTTGGAAGAAATGACCAGGGTAACGGTGAGAAAGGGAAGGCCTACCCAAGCGCTGGGAAGGACAAGGCCACGACACTGCTCAAGTCTGAGTGTATTAGGTCCTTTCGGGGTCTGAAGGTTTGCAAATGCCTTCTCGTTTTCCCTTACTTGCTTTTGGGTGAAAGTGGCAAAAGAAGGCTAAGCCTAATCAAACATGAGCCCAAGACTAAATTCTCTGTTTTAAATTACACTTCCAAGCTGCATCTGCCCCAGATTCTATGTTGTTTCCATCAGATTTATTCTAGATATTTCTGCACAGACAAATCAATACAGGAAGACATCTTCTTGCCTGGGAATTGCTTGTTTTGGTGGGGAACTGCAGTTTCACAGTAAAACAGAGCTGCAGAAAGACACTAACGCAACGGGCAAGTCAAGTCAACGCCCCTTAAAATTGTCTTTCATCAGGAGATATTTATCTCCTAAATCCTCAATAGGCCAAAATTAAAACTCCACAGTAGAATTACACAGGAACTTTTAAAAAATGTGTTATTTGATGTTTTTTTTTTCCTTTAGAACCAGTTTCCTACTACAGACTTGATTTATGCACTAGCATCAGAATGGCACCTGTAACTGAGAGCTGCAGTCTGGATTTCACCTAACTCCACGGCAGAGGTAGAGGAAATGGGAGGTTTGTGGAGGTCTCTCTTCTCAATCAGAAGAAGAATGTAATAAAGAGAGGAAAACAAAACAGAATCCTCACTAATGACATACAGCCTTAAGACACATGAGAACAGACAGGCCTATGTGAGCTTCTCAAGAGGCCTGATGGCGGGCGAATGTAGTTTAGCATACTAGTTGTCATAGCAAGTCAGTGGGATTGGAGAGCACATTTCTGTTTTGACATCTGGCCCATAACAAAATTACTATTGATCTGTTGTGAGCTTCCAGCAAAAGAGTATAACCTAGTCTCAGAACAAAGCATCGTCCACTAAATAACAGGCAATAATCATCCCGAATTTGTGCCTTTCATTCAAAATCGCATCTCGGCTGGTGTTCTGCTCGGAGCATTTTGGGATAAGCTTCCCATTCCTGAATAGGGGTGTCCAGACCTTTTTTTTTTTTAAACGAGTCTTCCCATTATCGGATTGATTCTGCCTTCTGTCTTCCAGAAGCCTGTGGCAGCGCGGGATAATGCTGACATCTACCTCCTGCACACACTTTGGTTTTGCTGCTGATTCTGGAAACTGACAGGGCAAGCATTATTTTCCAGCAGATGTTCTACAGGCAGTGGAAAGGAGCAGAGAAACAAATCAGTCAGAGCCGTTCACGGCGGTTCGGGAGGGTGAAAAGACAATGGAGAAAAGAAGAACAACCATAGATAGGCCTTGTTTCTCATTTATTTTCATTGCTCTGGAAAAATTTATAGGCAAGTGCCACTCACAAATGACACAGCTTTCATTAAAATGATCGGTTAGAATTTTTAGTAGGCTGTATTTTTCAATGATACTAATAAAGCATTAGAGAACGTTTACATAACGTCATTTACTCCAAGGGAGTTAGTTCTTTTTGTAGCCTGGTTCAGCTAAACGTTGACCATGCTCCCCACCCTCAGGCAGCTAAGTCTCCAGTTGTTTCAGGCCTTGGCCGTTTACCTCCCCAAATATATCGCTGCTCTCCTTTTTTTGCAGAACGAAGCTGCATTAACCAAGTAGCTATCTAATGCTTTCTTTTGCCTGCATCCGTCAAAAGAAGACAAACAATATAGATCAAGTGCATCTGTGCTCTAGACCGCATTGATTTGTTGCATGTGTGGTTAAATCCTGTCAAGTAGTCTTAAAGGTGAAGCATTACCGGCAGAGAACCCACTCTGGGAGGGAAGGGGGTGCCATGAGTCATCAGTGGGTCTTCTACCTGCCACTCACAACATTGTACAACTTTGCCCAAACCACAGAGACATTTCACATATGTAAGTTCTGAGCCCCCACATCTTTAGACAAGGGCTTTTAGTGAATGATTATACAGAAAACAAAGGAACAGGTATTAGTTACAACAAGAGGAGATGGCTCGAATGATGATGGAGTTGTGATGTAAAATGTTGTACCAAGAGCCTAGAGCAGTCTACAACAAGGTCAAGGCTGCAGAGGGGGAGGTGGACCAGGTAGCCCATTCCTGTAGAAACTGTTTGACTGATGCAGACGTCACTGCCTTCCCAATCCAAGTGGTTCTTGCTGGCCTGTGAAACTCTGATTTGCATAGATTAATACACTGAAGCATCGCCTATTTCTCTTTGTGGCCTCAATGGATGCAGCCTGTTGACAGACTGCAGCTTAAAAGGACCAATTATTTAACTAATGTTTTTGCAGCAATGTCCACATGCTGACCTCAGCAATATTAAAACCATACAATTATTATGCAGAGTCAGGAGCAGAAGCCCATTTCAGAGTTCTCCAACTGTCAGATCCCCTCAAGTGACAAAGCACAGTCAAGTGGTGATCTGAGGGAAGGAATCCATAACACTCCAGTAGCACGGAAGGCCTTTCAATAATCTCTGCGCTGAGAAAATGAACAATCATTCCTTCTTTCTGTTTTATTTCCTCCATCAAAACATGGGCGTGAGGCTCAGAATGCCTAAAGTAAATCAGACTTTTAATAAATCCTGGGATGCCTTTACTGTGTACTACCAATTATTTAAACCCGTTCCCTATATTAACAGTGTCATAAATTCAGTTCCACAAGTGGCGGGGACCATGAAGCCCAGCAAACACTTAGCCCAAGTTAGACAAGGCAGACCTGATTCCAAACATTCAGTTCCTCTGTACTCATAAATCACTGTGATGTCCCAGAAATGCATATATTTGAATGCCCAATTGTATCTTTAATATTTTTATTCATATTTAAGTTTGTCCAGAAAAATGGCATAATCTTAGTTCTTTGGCATACTGACTTCAGTTTTTAGAAACATAATCACAGTACCAATCTGCTACACAGCACACCTTTCATCCTCTATGCTTTCTGTGCACAAAACTGTAAGGATTTCACTGCCTGTGCTCTCAATAGACTCTTAGCCCTTAGGCAGGGGTTTTCCCCATCATCTTAACCACATTACCAATAGCCATCCCAGTGCTTGGCACATGACAGGTGCTCAGTAGACACTTGCTGAAATCTTGAATGCGAAAACAAACCAAGGGTGAGGACGCGGCTCAGTGGGTAAAGAGCGCTTACTGTGCAGTCCATGAGGACCTGAGTTCCGATCACCAGCACTCACATGGAACAGCTGATAGTGCCTGGGGAAGAGCGGAGACCAGGGCATCACTGGGGCTTGTTGGCTGACAGCTTAGTCTAAAAAATAAAAGCTGGTGAGCTCTAGGTTCAGTGAGAGATCCTGTCTCAAGGGAGTACAGTGGAGAGAGCTAAAAGAAGCTCTTTCACAGGCCTCTGGCACAAATGTTCCTAGAGAGATGCACCTACACACATGTGCGTGCACGCACGCGCACACACACACACACACACACAAATACAGAGACCCTCACCAGTAAACTCTCAAAATAAATAAATGCAATAAATACAATAGAGTGCTTTTCTACTTGAGAAAACGAACTGCTCTTCCAATTAGACAAGAGTCTGGGTATTTGTTATGTAGAGGAAGCAGAGGGAAGTCTGGAGAACACACCAGTGAGTCCGTGGAGGAGGCATTAGCTTCAGTGCGACCCGGAGGCCATCATCAGAATAATGATGCAAATAATCCTGCTTTCCGTGCTCTCCTTCACAGCTGTTAACAAACTGAATCCTTAGGATGCTTTGGGTTTCATTCTTCAAGTACAGTCACCTGAGTCAAGTTCAGTTCAAGATTTTAGTAAGCACCGCTCTTAGCAATATGGATATGGTGTCTCTTTTTATTCTCCTCTCGGGCAGGGCAGGGGACGGAAGCCGCCAGGAAAGTGAAGTCGGCACTCCCACAGCACCTGTAGTCAGAAGTCACGTGCACGCATGTGGCTGAGGGTTTCTGTAATCACGGGGAAAAGGTAAGGCATGTGCTATAACTCACAGGAAGAATTGACGTTTCCCACAAAAATGATGACTTGAGTCTCAATAACAGTCTTGCAGGGTTGACCATTCAATACAAAATGGAGAAAACCCACAGAATTAATGAATACGTGTGATAGTTTGGAAATAATAACCCTCCAAGGCCCAAGTGTTAAGGTATGGCCCCAATGTTATGTAGTGATTTCCTCCAAACTAAATCACCCAGTCCTGGAGAAAGGAGGAAAGTTCAAAACACTAAAGAAGTAAAAGATATCTATGAAGCTTTTAAAAGGTAGGAACCCCAAATATTATAAAACTGGGGAAAGGAGACTCTGTCCAGTTCAAAAGCAAAGCCTGCAAGTCCAGGACACAGCTTTCGCTCATATTGAGGTGTGCTTTTCAGTCACACGGCCATCTTTGAATCGCCCATGCTCCTGTAAGTAATCCCAGTAAATTCATTGTTCACTAAGCTAGACTTAAGTGGGATTATTTCTTGGGTCCGTAGTCAGAGCCCTATCTGGGGTAAACAGACAGAAGTCACTGACCACCCACAGTGGGACTCTTGGAAAGTAGTGGAACCTCTGAGAGGTGCCCTCAAAGAGGACCATGGAATCCCAGTCTCTTCTGTGATTTTCTTCTGCTTCCCAGCTCATTTATAAATGGTCTACTCTGTCATGCCCTCCAAGCAAGACATGCAGACAAAGGCCCAAAGCAAAAGAGGTGCCCAATACTGAACCGAAACCTCCATGACCATGAGACAAAGCAATGCTTTTCTCTTCGTAAGTTAATTGCTTCAGGTACTTCATTATAGTAATGAAAAGCTGACTAATACAGTATCGCAAGACAGACACAAGGTTAAAAAACTATAATGCTGCTATATTTCTTCCGAGACACTTAATAGTGTTAATTTGAACTCCTACACAGCACTGCAAAACATGGGAAGAAAGATAACAATTAATCTATCACTTGGGAATAGTAAGTAAGTTTCTATCGTGACAAAAAGATCAGGTGCAAGATCAGGTGCAAAGTTTCGAGTGGGAAAAATCTCCTTATTGTGCTATTAAATTTTTGTACACAATCAAAATGTATACGAGTGAGCAAGGCGCTGGCTTTCACTCACACCGATCACCTGGGAGCCTCAGGCAGATGTTTCCAGAAGAGAAATGTGGACTCTAAAATCAGTGACAAGCTGTTCTACGGCACTTTCAGCACCTCTCTCATTATTTCCCAATCCCCCAAACCCTAAATCAGACAACCCTGACAGCCCTGAGAATTTCAATTATCTTGAGTTCAATGAGCAACGTATAATCAGGCCACCTAAAAGTTACACCTGTAGAGAAAACACACTGGTAGCCAGGAGGTAATTAGACATTAGGTAGTCGGAACATTAGACATGGATCTGGTCATGTATGGCTCTTAAGGACTGAGCATGATCTGAAGCACCCAAATCTCCACAATGCATTAATATCAGAGGTCGCCCATACAGCCAGAGTACACAAGGGGAACATGGTGAACAAGAAATATGTGCAAACAGCCTGGGCTAAGTGGGAAACAGACTGAGCCAAAGGGCAGAGGAGAGTGGGCACCTACCCGAGTGGAGTGAAGTCCCCTGGAGGAACATGTGTACAGGGAACTGGCTTGTGGAACTC